TGGCCAGGGAGTGCAGTGGAGGATGGCCCAGGTGCTTGGGCCCTGCACCCCATGGGAGACCAGGAAAAGCACCTGGCTCCTGGCTCCTGCCATCGGATCAGCGCGGTGCGCCGGCCGCAGCGCGCCGGCCGCGGCGGCCATTGGAGGGTGAACCAACGGCAAAGGAAGACCTTTCTCTCTGTCTCTCTCTCTCACTGTCCACTCTGCCTGTCAAAAAAAATAAATAAATAAAAAAAAAAAAAAAAAAAGAATCCAGGAGTTTCATCTGGGTCTCCTATGTGAGTGCAAGCACCCAAGCACTTGGGCCATCTTCCACGGGTTTCCCAGGCCATATCTAAGAGCTAGATCTGAAGAGGAACAGTAGGAACACAAACGAGCACCCATATGGGATGCTAGCACGACCGGCAGAGGCCCAACCTACTATGCCACAGCGCCAGCCCCAAAAAACACGTATTTCAAGGAAAAGTTAGAAGGCAACTATTATAATCTCCTACAGAACATGATCCTTTGTCAATAATAAAACCAATCTAAGTGCAGGGTAACTGGGTTGCGATAGGCAAAAAAAATCACAAAGTTGATGTGGTCATTGATGATGACACAGTTTCCATTTGCTAGTGACAAATTGTTTGCTCTTTAAATATCAGTTTCCTTGTATGTAAAATAAACATAATTGGATGTCAGTGGATTTGTTTTTAAAAACAAGGAATTTTCTTTATAAAGACAACTAAGTGAACTAATAAAAGCAGATCTGCTATAGTTGAAGTGGTGGGGGCTTCAGAATGAAGCCCACTGGGGCCTCTTCATTTTTACTTCCATGATGGCTAATCTCACGATTCTGTGGAAGATAACTCACAGCTCTGGACGTAGATCAGCTGAAAGTAATTAACCTGTCATGCATATTGAATACATCAATATGTTGATTCATTTCTCTTATGCTTAATACATTATTTTTATGACTTCATGCCTTCAAACTAAAATTTCCAGTGAGACAAAAAGAAAAGGAACTACCTCTGGCTCAAAACTATTAATCACATTTTTTGTTGGGGAGGGAAGGCAATCAAAAGGATAGGGATTCCAGAGGTCCCTAGAAAGGAAAGAAAAACATAGGAAAAAAAAAAACATGTTGTCACCCTCCAGGAGCCCTGAGGGAGGCAGAGACAGGGGAAACATATGCAGCAGAGTCTTCAGATATTGTTGAGTCTGCTTAAGGAAACTCATTGAGAACTATGCACACTTCTGTGCAAAACAGGCTGCTCCAATGTTTGTCCCCTGATTGCTAATGAGACATGATACGTGAACCAAACACCTTCAGTTCCCTGATTGATTGTTATCCCTGCCTCCAGATTGATTGTTATTCTGGACTTCTCTTTGGTTGTTATTTGGCCCCTTCCCTGATTGGCCCCTTTCTGAGAAGTGATTACAGATTTAGTCAATCAGAGAGAGCCACATTGTGTATAAAAGAGCCAGGACTGCAAGCTTCTCTGGTATTTCCTCCCTGAGAGTCCCTCTCCTGACTGCTGTGAATGGAAGCCTCTTGCTTTGCTGACTGTCTCTGTCCATGTGGAAATCCTCCTTTAGTGTGAGACAAGAACTGACACAGCCCTCATTGTCCTACAGCAAAAATATATCTCTAAGCCGAACTCTTTTCTCTTTTAAAAGATGCATTAATGATATTATATTTCTGATGGATTTTCTCCAAAAACATTAGGAAAATGAATTCAATATTTCAGAAGACTGCAAGGATTTTAAAAATCCTCTTGAATGGTGATTATTTTTATTAAGACGAACAGTGCCATGGTGCAAAATAAGCTATGTGAGTATAAACAAAAACCACTAAATGCTGTTATCTGGAATTAGGAACACATACTTCAAATAAAACATGAAATATAGACACCACATTATGGAGACAGGTTTACTGTCAAATAGGCAATTAAAAACTAAAGTATATTCAGTCACAGAGACATTCATTTTCTAAAGCTGGAATGACTAACAAGGAGATTTTCCCCCTTTCCTCTATTTTTTTTTAACAAAGAAAACAGGGATAAAACATTTCATTTACAATGGAGCATATATTTTTAAACAATCTTGACATATCTTAATCATTCAGTCAGTTACCAGGAGAAGCCAACTTCCTTTTCCTGTTTGTGGGCTGTTAGTTCAGCTGCACCTGTTAATAAAGAGCCTCCACCTGGGTTAATTTACCAGTTAGAGCCATGTGAGTATGAAAGGAATCCTTGTAGTAAACAATATGTATTCCACAGTAAACACCGCATTATCCCCAGGCCAAATGATGGAGTCAACTCAATAAATAAAAGCCCTGGCGGTAATTCTTTTCTTTCACAATTAAAAACTAATTATTGGTTGAAACTGAACAGTGTGGTAATTTCATTCATTATGTGCAGCAAACAAAACCCTAGAAAGCTCATGTTTTTGAGACCTTGTTGACATTTGCTTAACTGACATAAATTTTTTTTTAAACCTTATCTCTTGAACTTATGGAAGGACAATTATAGCTTTGGCTCAGGAAGATCACTGTTCAATGCAGTTGGCTAAAATGAACACCACAGGAGACTCTCACTCTTAGGGGCTCTAAGACATCAAACACCAGGGAAATAATTAGTAAAGGAACATAAGTTTTATATTGTTGAGACATACCCTGCCAACATAACCTTTAATCTCTTTTATGAAACAAAAACTAAAGACAAGAGAATGCGGCTAGGTAGAAAATGTTCTATTAATGGCCAATGTGTATTAATTTATATATGTGTATATATATATATATATCAAGAGTTATTATACATATGCTACATATATCCTATTTTTAATTTATCCCATGAGGTAGGAACTGTTTATGTATTGTATGTTAGGCTCATTTTTATGCCTTTAATTAACAATCCATAATAAAATTGGTTTTGAAGTTGGATAGAGACTTTCCTATGAAAACAAAGTGATAGTAGATACCAAAGGATACCAGAATACATAAATGTATATTTACATATGTTTTCACACAATAATTACTGGGAATATTACCCAATAAATAATTGTAAAACAACTTGCGAAAGTCACAGGGGAGGAAAAAAAGAGAAGTGAAGGAATCAAGGCAAAGTAAAAAATAATGGTAGAATAGTAAAAAAAAAAAAAAGTCCCTGTAAGTTGACTATATCAAGAATAATTGCACATAATTTTAAGAATTGGGTTGGAAATTCAATTCTGATTTTAATAGAGATTAAAGCAAAGACAGAAATAAATTGAAAGATTCAGTGCCCTTATATAAAACTCTAATGCATAGAATAAAGCAGATTTTCCCTCATGGAAACTCATAAAAATGATCCTTCTTAATGAAGAAATGTTCTGCACCGTTCTGCTTACCACTTCACAGAAAACCAAAGGTCCTAATACAAAGTGAATCTTAGTGAAACCATTCTACCAGGAAACAAACAATGGTATAAGTGTAGAGATCTCTGACAGTCATTTTTGAATCATAATCAACATTGAGTGTATAATTCAATGGACCTCCAAGTCTTTAGGCTAGTGTTTTTAATTTATTTGAAAGGCAGGCAGGCAAGCAGGCAGAGAAACAGAACAATAGACGAGAGAGAGAGAGAAACAGAGAGAGAGAGAGCAAGAGAGAGCAAGATATCTCTCCCACGTGCTGGTTCATTCTCCATATGCCTACAACAGATAGGAATAGGCCAGGCTAAAGCCAGGAGCCAGGATTCAATTCCAGTCTTCCAATGGGTGGCAGAGATCCAGCTTGAGCAATCACCTGCTGCCTCCCTAGGGTGTGCATTAGCAAGAAGCTGAAATCAGAGGGAGACTCAGGACTCAAATTAGGCAGTGTGATTTGGGATGTAGGTATCCTAACAGGCAGATTAAATGCTGCACCACGTACCCAGTAGTGGTTATAAAGCTGTTTTACGTAACACCTCTTTCATAGATGTCAGGTAATGAGTTAGAAAGAATGTTGTGTTAGATGTGTATAATTCTGGGATTTTGCTCTTGTTTTACCCAGAAAAACTCCTTCTTTATCAGCTATATGTTGAGATTTCTTATTATTTTTAGAGACTCCACTAGAAAGAAAAATATGAAGTGGATTTTTTATATTTTAAATATAGCAGTGAAAATATCCAACATAAAAATCACAAATACACAGTAATGGCTAACTAATACTACAAATTTATTAATACAAATTTAGTCCTAAAGGAAGTAATGTGATTCATTGTTAGAATTTGGTCACAAATTTGATTTTTATTTTAAGAGGATGAAAGCAAAGACAGAAATCAGTTACAAAGTTCAATGTCAATATGAGCCATTATTTTTTCTGCCCTTTCTGGTGATATAAGAGAAATATAAAAGATTTTAACACGACACTAAGCAGAATACAAAATACTTTTTAACGTCCCATATATACTATGTAAAATATATAATGTGAATATTATAAGGAAACACATAAAGATGAAATTATGATGGTATGATTTTAAAGTTTTTGTTATCTTTCAACATACCTTTAGAAAACATCAGCCATTTTGAAATATAGCTTTATTTTAAAAGCCACTATGATAGAGAAAACTTGCATTTATAATTTTAAAATATTTAATACAATTAATAGTTATTAAATGATAGAACAGAAGATTCTAAATTTTCTAATTTCACTAATTTTCAATTGAACTAGATAAAAATAATAGCAACAAACATTAAGTAACAATGATAACACGCAAAAAATCTTTTGAATGTATTTAATGCTTGTAAGATTCCTTGTAAGGTAGGTGCCATTTTTAGAGGTAGGGAACCTGTCTCTAAATCACAGGAATATGGAGAAACTTGCTCAAATCACATGGCTACGAAGTGGTCGCTCCAGGATTCAAAGCCAAGCAGTCTAGCTTCAGAGCTCATGCTCTTATTAAAACTTTAACTTCCTCTCAAAAAAAAAAAAAAAAAAAAAAAAAAAAAAAAAGGCTCTCCAGTTCCTCTCCAGAAAAGAGAAAAGCCCTATCCCCTAATATTATGTCAAGAGACAACAACGCTATCATCTCCCACCATTGTACCAGCCCATAATTTTCAAAATGTTGTCGTGCGTGTTATCTGACCCTCAGGAGGTACCCTGTGCTGTACTTTTGTCTTGGATCTTACTATGACATCTGTTCGACATTTGCCACCACATACATGGACTTCTTGGCTCCTCGTCTCACTGGACACATTCTAACCCATAGTATTGATTATCTGGGTTTCAGGAAGAATCCTGGGGAGGTGTTAACTCTCATAAAGTCTAAACTTGGTTAGACACGAAAGGAATAAGCCCCCATGCTATCTCATCCTAATTTGTCACAGCATTTGATGAGATAACCAAGCTTATCAAGTGAGTGAGTGGCAAACATTGAGTTAAAACAGGTTTTTCCTCAGGGTATACACAAGTGTTCGATGATGGTATTAATCAGATAAATATTCTATTAACTCTAATGTGAATGATAAAGCTATTAAAGCTCAAACTGTGATTATAACTACCATTTCCTTACTGAGGGAAATTACACATTTATAGCTCCCAGCATGAGGCCAGAAATCTAGGCTTCCAAGTAGGTCTATGGCATGTTACTGGACAATGGAATTCACATTTGAGAGGAATTCAAGAAGTATAAAAAGCCTTTGTGTTCAGTCAACACTTCAGAGGTTTCCTCTGAATACAAAACGAATGTCTTCATACCTCTTTTTTAAAAAAGAATTTCAGCATTGTTAGTCCATTTTACTGTGGCGACTCCAGGGACATGCATAGCCAGAGAGCGGTAGGTCATGGCAACATTCAGATTTGAATTATTTTTCTACCTAGCAAAAAGCTACAACAACTCATATGCAGTTGAGTGCTTGCGTGCTTGCTGTTATACTAACTGAAGATATCTTCCTTTAAAAAGTGACTAGAAATCCAGTAGACCAAGAAAATTTTTGAAAAGAAATGCAATGGGGATACTAAGAAATCTGAGTTTGTATGACTTAGCTAAAGGTGCAGAAATGGGTTATCTTTTCTCCCATTTCAAGTGAAGAATTAACTTGGCAATTATTGATTTTAATATCATGAAATTTGATATTTGAAGAATTATTACAAGATTTCTAGTATACTTAATTAGATTAATATGAATTCCACCTCTTCAAAGATTAAAGTAAGTAAAATCAGCTTGGCTCCTTGGATTAAGGAGAGTAGTATCAAAATGAAGGTAAAGTAATTTGTTTTAACTCTTTCCTTTGATTTCAACAAGGCAAAAGCTTATCTTAGAAAAATAAACATAGTACAGATACTTGAAGATATCCATGATATATAAGCCTACCACCAAGAGTTAATAAACACAATCATGATAATGTTTATAAGACAATTATCATGTGCTAATGAAGTAGGCAGGCATACAGGTTAAAATTGATTAGGTTTGTGAGCTGGAAGACCACGCCTTAACCATGCCCCCGTGTGACCTCAGGCCCCTGGCTGACCACACCTGTGTGCCCACCGGCCATTCAGGTTAATTAACCACTCTCCTTTGAAAGTGGGTTAAAAGCCTGGGATGCGGTGTGCCCGGGCTCTTCCTTCCTTTTGGCCTTTTGCCAGTGTGGGCCCGTGTGGCCTGTGACTCAAATTTTATACCCTTTTCCTCACAGAAAAGAAACTTAGAAAAAAAGAAAACTCAGAAAGCTTAATAGACAGGTGACCTGGAGCAAAGCACACGTGACACACAGGCATCACGCTCAAACATCCCGACTTTAGAGCAGCAAACGTTGCCACTATTCTGTCACTGAACACTGGTTTTTACTCAGTCTATCAGGAACATGAAGGGAGAAAATGAAATGTGGACTCACAGTTAAATGTTACAGGAAGTGCACAAGTGACGAATGTCAGAAAATCTTCTAACCTTAAAATATTTAACATTTTAATACCATGAAAACAGTGTCTGTCAAGTTAACCAGCTATCAGGGGAAAATAGGCAAAACAAATTTTAAGGTAAATGTGAGAAAAATTATGTCCTGAAAATGCATTCAGTAGAAAACGTTAATGTTACTCTGATGATTAGATTTGATATTACATTATCTTTAATCAATTCAATGCTTCCACCACTCCAAGTACTTTCATTCTCATGATAAACATTGATTGAAATTCAAGGTGAACAAAATAGGATTTTTATATGATTTGTTATTCACACTCTCATATGTCTTATGATGAAATCAGTGGAGATCTAGCTACAAAATTAACAATTTCAGTACTGAAGCTGATTTATGGGAACTTCACCAGACTGAGAGGTAGCTTAACTTTAATGTTCTATTTTGCTATTTTAGAACTACTGGGGTGTCTTTTTGTTTTTTCTAACTTCAGATGTCAATTCAATCTTAACCACCAAGTGATTCCAGTAGATTCCAGTAGAAAATACTACAAGTGAATAACAATAAAAGAGAAAAAGTGTAATTGAGTAGTTCTTGCTTTCCAGATAGGAAGATACTGCCTCAATGTTTAACAGAAATGGTTGTTTAATGAGAAATGCATACCATAGTTATTCTACAAAGCTGTGATTAGGAGCAAGGTTTCCTAAACTTTGTATACAGCAACAGTCAGCTGTTTGTTTAGATTATTTATGATCACCCAATTTCTCCACCTTAGGCATATATATATGGAGATTCATAATAATACTTGTGTCGTATTTTACAAGAAGTAATCTTAGAAAGTATCTGATGTGGCAGAGGCAGACAAGCTATTTATTAAACCCAGTTCCCTTTCCCCACGGATAAGAAGACTACACGTCACGAGCTCCTTTGCAGTCCTTACATGTGACTGAAGTCTAGCCAGAGGACTGCAAACGAACATTATGTGTTCTGTTTCTAGACATCACCTGTAAAAATACCTCCCATATCTCGTCTCCTATGCTCTCCTCTTATGACAGCTCACTGGAATGGAGACGACACCTCATCAGTGGGTTCTGGAGCTGGATCTCACCAGCCAGCAAGAGCTAATCAGAAAAATCAGCAATGCTACAAATTATGGTAGGCAAACAACCTGGCTTTCTTTCTTCCTCCCCTCCATCCTGTCTACCTGTTTCCTTGCTTCTTTCCTTCTTTTACAGCATACCATTGTCACTAGAATGGTTTTATAATCTACATAAAGAAGATGACAAAGCTAAACTCTAGAAGAAACCTGAGTCTGATTCATTAATGGGAAAAGGGCCATCTGACCAGCAACAGCTTCATTAGAGTGTGATGTGAACTAGCTAGAGTGTGCTCAAGTCTGCTCAGGATGGTCTTTGTGATCACCGTCCTACACTAATTAACCGTGTAGCTTTCAATTGCAAAAGTATCCTAATCCAAAGGGTGGCCATTTCAGTATGGTAAAAAATATAAAAACTTTTCTTGTTAAGACATTGCCATTTTTTTTTGTTACTAACATCTTTACTGTTAGTTCAATCCAACTTAATTTTACTATATATTAAAAAACTAACATTTGATCTTCATAATTTTTGTTGTTGAGAAAATCAATTACCTTATTTGTCATTTACTTTGTAAAGTAAGGCAAAGAGAACAACTTGCCAAATTGACAGCAACAGAGGAGTACAAGTTCCCTTGCCTTGGAATCTATGGCTAGTGATGGTAACTGCATCTAAGGTTCCAAAAGCGTTTGGAACGTACTGTGTGACTTAGGTGGCATGACACCATTGTGTTCAGGATAACACATATTTCAGTTTGTGTTTTCTCAGCAAATGTCAAATGAGGAAAGTTGATCCACTGGTGTCCTGGGTGGCCATAGATTTATTCACTAAGGTTCTTGTGTGTCCTGGGAACATTTTGTTTCTCAGTCTGAACCACATTTGCTTCTCTGATGTGTTAACACATGACAGCCACTTGGGGGCAGGGTTTACCCTAGTGGTTAGGACGCCGAATTCCGTATCAGAGTGCCTGAGTTGGACACCAGGCTCTAGCTCCTGGTTCTAGCTTGCTTCCTACTAATGCAACTTTGGTTTGCATGTGAGGACCGAGTTCCAAAATCTCAGCTCTCAGTTCCCAGCCAAGTGCCACAGGAGTGAACCAGCAGATGGTCCCCGTCCCCTCTCTCTCCCTCCCTCCCTCCCTCCCTCTTCTACCTCTTAAATAATAACAATTAAAAATAAAATCCACTTGGCTTCACTTCAAATCCTATGTCCCCAAGTGTTTTACCCCTTGCAAGTATAGAATACAGGCCCCTTTGATTGGAATCACGTTTTATGTAAAACCAAACAGACTTGGAGCACACAGACTCACGTCTACATGTACGCACACAACCCACACCATGCCTCTTTATGAAAAGCTACTGAAGCAGAAAAGCTGTTTGAAATCTGGTTAATTGCAAGCTTCACTGTCCATCTGGAGTTCTGGGCGATTTCCACTCGTTACTTATGTCTAGACTTCTATGCTTTAATGTCATTCTCCCATAGCCACTCAGTCAAAACTCTCAACATTCGTTTCTGTTCTACATTTTTAAATTATGATCAAAATTTTAATCAAATGCACTTTTTATTATACATGATATGATTTTGTTTTCATAGGAAATACTCAAAGCATAATTAATATTATTTAGTTGAAAATATTGGGGTTCAGAGACATAAATTAAAATTTCCAAGTTTCCATTATTACTAAGAAGCAGAATTCAGACTAAAATACACCACACACACACACACACACACACACACACTCAATGATTGTACGTCCACTTCCTTGAGCAAACCAATAATCTGTCTCCTGATTTTATTCCCTGATATCCTACAGTTCCTCAAGTTACTTGTCTTATTTTAATCAAACTGATAGCCTACACATCCTTCTACTATCACATCTTCACTTACACTCACCTTTAACCTTCAGAACATCATTTTTTTTTCTGTCAGCTTGAATCTTTAACAGTCAATTCAAGTTCCCTCTTCCCTTCAAAATTTCCTTTTGGATACTTCAATTATTTCAAATTTCTTAGAACCCTACATGTAGACAGCCAAGGAAAATTTGAATTAGTAGTGCTAAGTCAGGAGAGATGTCCACTGCAAACCAAAAAACTAATATCACCCTGATAAAGCACTCTGCTGACAGCTTTGGATTTACTGATTTTACCTTTATGTTTTTAAATTGCAGTTATTCTGAAAATTTTAAAAACTGCAAACTTTACATAAAACCACAAGTTTTTGTCTGTTAGATGAGAAAACAAAGTTGCAGAGGATTGATTTTTTTCTAAAGAGCATATAACTGATTCAGCTACAATGCACATGAGGTTTTAATATTTTAAATCTGGTGCCCCTTTCCCATTGCTTGAGTTCTTTAGCTATTTCTTTTTAGTTGTATCTAAGATATATCCTAATTAAATTTTATGATAACTGACATTTTTTGGTTTCATACTTTTGTTTTAACAGTTATTAATGCAATATTGTACTTGATAAATAATAATGGGTTCCTTAACTGAATTTTGTGTTTGTGCTGACAGAGTCAATACCAATTCTTCCTATACGTGAAGAGGAAGAGAGACAAAAAAAATATGAATTTTTCCTATTGTCCCCAAGCATTATTTGCCTGTGCAAAGTGCTCTGACAAGCCCACATGAAAGTTCTGTCCTACGGTTGGGCCCAGGTCAGTCATTCTGGGCTTCCTGCTCATTGGGTGGGAACATAGAAAGAACAAAAGCTCTGTGAGGAAAGATCACCTTTCTTGAGGAAAACAGATTATCAGAATGAAAATGACTCATTAAAGGAGCTTACCATCTAAGACAGAAGAAACAGCAATAGCAAAAGACAATTCTGAAGTTTTAGCTTCTGAATTTATTCATCCTTTTTCAGTATATGAGGGATAAAGAAAAATAGGCTTACAATAACTACATACATAAAAGGAGTTTGCATTTACTTGTCCTCTAGTTAACAATGACACTAGTTAACCAATGTTGGACAGGTAAGAATTTGTCCCCAATTGAAAATATATCATAATTTGCAATAAACTGTTATAATAATAATCTAAAACTATTGAGGAATTGCAATTTTTCTGATAATTTCATAAAATAATACTTAGCACAGAAAATCATTAGTGTAATACATGTTAAGACGTATTGTTTCTATACATCCACAAAAAATAGAATTAATGGTATAAGCATCCCAATAGAGAAAAATTTTCCACTACATGTCTAAAAAGGTAGTCAAATCAGACCATAACATACCATATTAATAGTGCTTACAAATAAATAGTAAACAATTAATCCAAGTTTCTTGCATTCTATTAGAGTGAATAATATTTGATACACCCACCTTCCTGCTACTATCGTTCCACAATAAACACACTACAAGGACACACATGAGGGAGAATAGTATACATAACGGCCAGGCTTATAAAGTAAATTAAAACTACAGATTGCAGAAATAAAATCAGAAATTATAAGTAAAATTGCAAGCTGATGTATGGTGCCCACATAGAGGAGTCAGTGGATAATAGGTGGATGTTAATAACTAAACCAGTGACATAACATATGGTCTTGATATTGAGCCTCCTACTGAGAAAGCCGGAATTCAAAGAATTACATCTTTTGAAAAGGTGATGAATATTTCAAGGACCAACCACTGTTTGATGGTAACAGCAAAATTGCTCTCATGCTATCTGGTGCCTTGGGAATGGAAAGGTATTACCAACAGAAATTGAAATCTTAGGACCTCCTCACCTACTAGTAGAAGGTCCTAAGAGGTACAGACCCTAGGTTGACAAATTAGTATAAACATTCATCTCAAAATATTAAAATTGTGTGGTGCCAGCAGAATCAAAAATAAAACTGGTCACTGAAGACCTATTAGACATACGGAGCTTACAGAAAGAACAGCAGGGGAACAAAGAAAAATTTACAAGCTTATCTTATATAAAATTCTTAAATGAAGAAACAATCATACCGCAAGCTATGCTATTCTTTATTCTCTCAAGGTATTTTTGGGAGGATATCTAGCTCCCTCCAGAGCTCATTATTTAAGTAATAAACCCTTTCATACCCTCTTAGTGCATGAGTGGCATCATTCATTTCAATATCTGAATCAAATATTAGGTGGTAGGTTGATCTTATCACCATGAAACAACAACAGATATTCTTAAAGGATTGCATCAATAAATACCTGAAAATTTACATTCATAATCACATTATTATTTTTTTTTTGACAGACAGAGTGGACAGTGAGAGAGAGACAGAGAGAAAGGTCTTCTTTTTGCCGTTGGTTCACCCTCCAATGGCCGCCGCGGCTAGCGCGCTGCGGCCGGCGCACCGCGCTGATCCGAAGGCAGGAGCCAGGTGCTTCTCCAGGTCTCCCATGGGGTGCAGGGCCCAAGCACTTGGGCCATCCTCCACTGCACTCCCTGGCCACAGCAGAGAGCTGGCCTGGAAGAGGGTCAACTGGGACAGAATCCGGCGCCCCGACCGGGACTAGAACCCTGTGTGCCGGCGCTGCAGGTGGAGGATTAGCCTATTGAGCCACGGCACCGGCCCACAATCACATTATTTTAATATAACACAATAAAATTAGAAATTAACAAGCAAAGTATCTACCTACCAAGAAAGAGTACTTAACCTGCACATTATACAAAAATCAACTTAAAATGGATCAAGGATCTAAATCTATGACATAAAACCATCAAATTACTAGAGGAGAACATTGGAGAAACTTCAATACATTGGCATAGACAAAGACTTCTTAGAAAAGACCCCAGAAGCACAGGCAATCAAAGCCAAAAATAGACACTTGGGACTACATAAAGCTAAGAAGGTTCTGCATTGCAAATGAAACCTCAGCAAAGTAAAGAAGCAACTGACAGAATGGGAGAAAATATTTGCAACTATGCAACTGATAAAGGATTAATATTCAGAATGTATAAATAGTTCAAGATCCACACCCTACCCCTCAACAACAAAACAAACCCAGTTAAGAAACAGGCAAAGGACATGAACAGACATTTTTAAAGAGAGGAAATTCAAATAGACAACAGACAAATGAAAAAATGTTTAGGATCACTTGCCATCAGGGAAACACAAGTCAAAATTACAGTGATTTTTGCCTCACACCCAATAAGAATGGCTCTGATATAGAAATCAAAATACAGTAATGTTGAAAAGGTGTGGGGAAAAATGTACCCGATCTTCTGTTGGTAGGAATGTAAACTAGTACAGCCATTGTGGAAGACAATATGGAGATAACTCAGAAAGCTGAGAATAGATATACCATAAGACATGGGGATAGTGCTGTTATGCAGTGGGTTAACACTCTGGCCTGAAGCGCCAGCATCCCATATGGGCGCCAGTTCTAGTCCCAGCTGCTCCACTTCCTATCCAGCTCTATGCTGTGGCCTGGGAAAGCAGTGGAAGATGGCCCAGGCCCTTGGGCCCCTGCACCCATGTGGGAGACCTGGAAGAAGCTCCTGGCTCCTGGCTTCAGATCGGCACAGTTCCGGCCATTGTGGCCAGCTGGGGAGTGAATCATCGGATGGAAGACCTCTCTCTCTCTCTCTCTCTCTCTCTCTCTCTCTCTGCCTCTCCTCTCTCTGTATAACTCTCTCAAGTAAAAAATAAATAAATCTTAAAAAAAAAGAGAGAGAGACACAGGCATCCCACCTCTGGGATTTTAAGAGATGAATCAGCATATGAAAGAGTTATCTGTACCCACATGTTTACTGCAGTTCAATTCATAATAGCTAAGATATGGATTCAACCCAGATGTCCATCAACTTAGGATTGTATAATGACATTGTGGCATTGTAGTATGGAATGCTAACTAGCTGTAAAAAAAAAAAAAGAATGAAAACCTTTGCAGCAAAATGGATGCAACTGGAAACCATTATACTTTGAAGCAAGCCTGACCCAAAAAGACAAATACTGTATGTTTTCCCTGACCTGTAATAACTAACATACTACCAAAACAAGCATCAAATATTTGTGAAATAGACGTTTTGAGATTTGATGATTGTTTGCAGCCCTTGTCTCTACTGAGGAGGAATAGTTTCCTTCTCTCCAATTTGTTGAAATTTTATTTTTGTAGGGTTAATGACTATAAAATAAAAAAACTAGATCATTGTAAAAATTAACAGAAAGAATAAGAAATGGAGGAGGAAGGGTGGGAGCATGGACAAGAGGGAGGATAGGCTGAAAGCCTATGTATATGTGGAATATATGAAATATTTTTATCTTAAAAAATTTAAAATATTTAAAAATTCAAAATAACTGAAAATTTTTAAAAATTTTAAAATGCCCTAAGAAATGATTGATGAAAATATGCCATACATATTTGTTGAATGCAACTAAACAGTAGATAGCAAAATTTGGAGACACATTCACATATTTTACAAAAAATAATCTAGAATAATCTGAGTTCTCAAATCAAGAATCTGAAAAAACAATACTGAAGTATATTTTAAAATACAGAAAGAGAAATATTAACCAAGATAAATGTAGGAATTATTTATATAAGCAAAATAGTGAAGAGTAGAAAAACTTTTTAAAACAAGGTTTACTATACACAATGAAAATAAAAGAGATAAAAGGAAATTAATATTTCAATTTTCAAGATAAACAGTTTACTATATACCAGAATTCAGTAAGGACTTTTATATAAATCAAAAAGTTTTAGGTAATAAAATACTCAGGAATAACTTCAAACTAACAAACTTGACTATTTAGAAGAAAAAAAAATCAGAGGACTTTCCCCAAATATGATTTAAGAAAAACAGAAATCTCAGTTCTACTTAACAGGTTGTTATTATTTTGTGTGTTTTTCTAAACCTTCCAGAAACAGATAAACTCTAATTTATCTAAAAGAAGAAAAGGAAGCAAACCTTCCTCTTCTGTGAGACCATGGAGAGTTTGGTACTGGAGAAATATGCAAAAGTACCGCTGATGAATACAGCGTGAACATACTAAATGGAACAGTAACACTTCAGAGACAGAAGTCTGGTGTAGTGGTTAAGCTTCTGTAGGGATGCCCACAACCTATAATCACTGTGCCCAAGTTCTAGTTCTGGCACCACTTTCAATTCCTGCTGCCTGCTTGGTGTACCCTGGAGGCAACAGATGATCTGGCAAGTCGTTGGGCGATGGAGACCTGGTTTGAACTCCATGGCCCATGATTCATCCTGGACCACGCATGACAGTTGTGGGCAAATGACATCTGAAACAGCAGGTAGGAGACCTCTGTCTGCCTCTATCTTTGTGTCTCTGAATTTCAAAGAAAAAAAAAAGTTATCGATAATGTTTCCTATGTATATGATTATGTGCTAAAAAAATTAGCTCAAAATTATAGGAAGCATTTGATTTCAGAAAATTTAATAAGCTAATCCGCAATTTAAACACATTACCAGAAGATAAAACAACCTCAGTGGTTGCCAAGAAAATATTTAAAAATTTTTTAATTATAAAAATACTGTATAACCTCCCTCTCTCTCAAAAAAGAAACCTAACATATAACAATTCGTAGTTAACCTTGAACAGAGGAATACTTATCTAATATTACGAAACATGGTTATCTAATACTTATGGCAGGGGCCCTATTTTGTGGTGCAGTGCATTAAAGCACCACCCACAAGACCAGCATTTCACATCAGTGCCCATTTCAGTCCCAGCTGCTCCACTTTTGACCCCGTGCCCTACTAATGCCACTGTGAAAGCAGTGGAGGATGACCCAAGTGCTTAGGTCCCTGCCACCCATTTGGGAGACCTGGTTGATGTTGCAGATTCCGGATTACCCACCTGGCCCAGTCTAGGCCATTGTGGCCATTTATAGAGTGAACAAGCAGATGGAAGACTTCTTTCTCTGTCTTTGCCTCTCTGTGTAACTTTGCCTATCAAAAAACTAAAAATATTTTTTTAAAAAAAGCTATGGCAGATAAAATACTATTTCATACTCAGGAAATTGTAAGTCAGACAAATACCATGGTATGTGGAGAAGTCAGAATTCTTAAACCCTGACAGCAAAATTATTGTGGAAAACAGTTTATCAGTGTCTCACAAACCAGATATACATACACTGGGCCAAGAAATGTCAATTCTAGAGATGTTAAGAGAATCCATCATATATTCTCCAAAATCTAAAGGACATATATGCATGGTTTCTAGGCTCCTTGGCTTCCAATTTATCTTCTGGCTAATGCACATCCCCAGCTCCTGGCTCCAGTCTTGGCCCAGCCCTGGTTGATAATGCAACAGTGGAGCAAACCGAACTTCAGCCTATTGGTGTGGAACATGTACACTATCATAGAACAGTCCCTGAGTTACGATGGCTCAACTTAAAGGTTTTTCAACCATACTTCAAATGTTGAATTTTGATCTTGGGCTAGTGATACATAGTACTACACTCTCAGAATGCTGGGTAGCAACAGTGAGTAACACTTCCGCCCAGCCAAATGACCACAGGAGTCAACACCCAATACTGTACAGTGTGCTGCGTTGCAAAGCCATGATGCTTGAAGGCTTAAGTATACAAAATGCATCATCAGTTTACATTGTTTTCAAATTGCTACGAATTTATTGGGAATAAAACATAAAAATACAAAATTCTTGATTTATGATAATTTTTTCTGTTCAATGAATGAATTAGATTGTATGGTCATAGAAGAATAAATATCAAGTCCATACATTTAACTGACAACCTAACTTCCATTGCTCCAAAGAGCAAGCTATCAAAGGATATTTACAGTTAATGAAGAAAATATTCTTTAAAATATAAAAAATAGATGACAATAATTGGACACATGACTCATAGTCAAAATATTAAGAACAGGACCAGAAAGATATAAATCAACCTCAAAATAATAACTCCTTCCAGGGAGTAAAATGAGAAGGAAGAATTGGAGGCTCCAACTTTGTCTGATGCTTTATATTATTTTTAAAAATCAAAAGAGAACATGAGAATATTTATTAATTTTTGATGAAGAAGTTATACATAAAACAATAAGATGAGACAAATACGCAGCGGACAAATAAAAATTTTTTGTTCAGATATAGAGATAAATATTGAGAAAATACATGGACTGTATAATCAGGGAGATGGATAGTAGCAGACTTAGAAAAAGAAATTTCCCAACTCTATAATCAGATTTCTATCAAATTACAATTTTAAACAATATTGTGTATAATATTAAAATATCAACAAAAATATTTTGATCTGTGTTTACATTTTCCTTTTTTCCTTTTGATAAGATTCCCAGAATCTCTCTCATTTGTTTCACTTTGATAATGTAGAGTCATTTCTGGGCCTGTTTCCTGCTGTGAGAGTTCCTGGGTTTCAGTGATCAAATGGTGATTACCTACTTTTCTCCATACATCAAATTTTCTTATGCACAAAACACATTCAGTGTATGCTTGATTGATCCATCGGTTTATTCTTTGAACATGTTGAACAAACATATTTTGAACATCTCTGTTTCATTCTTTGTGCCATGCACTGGGCTAATTATCACATATAAAATGGTTGAAAGGTAAAACTGTGCATAAGCTCTAATGAGTTATTTAGATGTTTTTCAATTGACATTTATCTTGGAGTTTCTGTGACTATCTCAAACCCATTTCAACTGAAATAATTCCCTACGTATAACACTGGATAGCACTGGGTTTTAGTCAGTGATGAACTCTATCTAAAAAGAAGTGTTGTCGTGACTGCTTCTCAAACAATCAATTTGTTTTGACTGATTTTACAGCATGACAGATTTCAGAGTAGCGTAGAAAAAGTAACCGATGCCAAAAGCAAATCTGTATGTGTTTTTTCTTCATGAGCCTTTTCAAATATTAAGAAATTATTTAAAAATAAGTTACTAACAGTACTGAAACAATTAAAATCATTCATAACACTGCATGCGAAAGTTTGTTTCTGGTTAAGAAAGACTTAGGACTTTCCACGCTTGTCTCTCCCACCAAATACAGCCATGCAAACTACACGGAATGCATGAAGCAGCTACTTAAGGGCTGGACAATAGAGAACCCTAGCAGATGGGAAACCAGACGAGAACTCAAAGTAGCATTCAACTCTTGGTTAGCACCTCTTCCTCAGCTTTCCTTTAGTTGTCACATTCTCAACTCAGGACAACCCAAAACTGGCAGCTGCAGCTCCAGGAAAGGTTCTCTGGTGCTGGCGTCAGCAGAAAGAGTCTCCTAACAGTCAGAGACAGAGATGGAATCCTGCACTTTCTCTCCTTTCTCTTACATGCTAGCCACCAAGTAATTCCACGACAGTGTTGGCACCAACAATGCCATAGAAAACAGCCCACGAAATCCTAAAACTCTAGGGGACAGTGACTTTCTTCTGTGGTGAGAAAACCTGTGGTTCCAAGACAGTGAGGCGGCGGGGGAACTCAACTGCTCCTTTTATGCATTTCCTTTTATCACGTGCAGAGGCAGACATGATCATGGGAAACATATGGCAGGCCTTGGCAAATTGAAGCTCAGCTTTATGCACAGAGCACAGAACAGGGAGCTTCCCAGAACCATACATTGTTAGAGGGATAAAAGAGAGGAAGGAGTTTATTAAAGTAAAGCATTAAGTTGTTTTTGAAATGTCAGCCTCTTCCCCAGCAGCCCATGCATAGATCTAATTTCTTTCATTTTTTATTTTTTTGAAAGTCAGTTACGGGGTGGGGGGGGGGGTGAGGCAGAGAATGAGATATTCTCTCTGCTGTTTCACTCCTTAAATTGCCACAATGTCCAGGGTTGGGCCAGGCTGAAGCCAAGAATCTTCTTTAAGGGTCTCCCATATGGGTGCAGAGGCCCAAGGATCAGGGCCAATTCTCCATTGATTTTCCAGGTGCATTAGCAGGGAGCTTAATAGGAAGTAGAGCAGCCAGATTTTGAATCAGCAACCATATGAAATACCGGCATCACAGGCAGCAGCTTTACTTGCTGTAACACAATACCAGCCTCCTAAATCTAACAAATTTATTGATTGATTGATATGAAGAGAGCAGATTTCATGTACTTCATACATATAATTTTAAGAACCTAACAGTATTTCCCTCCCTCTTTCCCCCAGCTTTCTTGTTTTTCTTTTAATTTTTGTGATAACATGCTGTCAATAGACTTTATAATCACAAGCTTAGTCCTGCACTAAATGAAGAATCCAACAAGCAGAAGGTAGACAGACCACTGTTCCTCAGGAGTATAAACAAGGGCTGTAAAAAATAATCAAATCTTAAGATGTCAATTTCACTCATAAACATTACTTTTTTGTACTCTATATATTAACTACCACTTATCAGAGAGAACATATGATATTTGTCCAGAGGATAGATCTAATCTTAACATCATTCTGAATGCTTTGAGAACAATGAGCCACTGAGTAGTTAATCCATGAAACATATCTGTATAACACTGCAAAACTTAAAATGGAACTAATATTGAAACCGCAATCACAGAGGGCTAGTCAAATCCTGCAACCAGTATCTAACCATATTGAGGGACACCTGTTAATTTATTTTATTTTAAATCACCATTCTCCATAGGATTCAAGTAAGATGCAGACTTTCACAGTCTAATATTCAAAGTGCTCAAGAGACCCTCTAAAATTACTTAGTAAATGAAGAACCAGGAAAAGACAACATATGTCAATGCCAAGATGACACAACTGCTGGAATTATCTCACAAATGACTTTAAAGCAGCTATCAATATACTTCAGTGAATGTTTTTAAAACAAGTGAAGACATAGAAATTTTTAGAAAATAAAGGAGAGATAGTGAAAAGAACCAGTGGCTGGTGTTTGACCTAGGAGTTAGGCTGCTGTTGAAGACACTTTTGTCCCATATCAGGGTAGCTGGGTTTCATACTCACCTCAGGCTCTTGACTTCAGATTCCTGTTAATTCAGACTCTGGGCGGGAGTGGTGAAGGCTCAAATAATTGGGATCCTGCCATCCATGTGAGAGACCTGGACTGAGTTCCTAGCTCCCAGCCTTGTGGACATTTGGAGAGTGATCCAGAGGTTGGGTTCCCACCTTCTCCCTCTCTCATATAAAAGAAGGAGCACGTACAATGTTAAGAACCAGTAACAATCCCTATTTTTTTAAATGTTCAAGGTCAATAGAACAGCAGGGTTATGAGAGCAAAGACTCAGTGAACTTAAAGACAAGTGAATAAAAATTAGGTATTCAGAACTAAGAGGGAAGAAAATGAGCTCTTCAGCCAGATCCGAATGCCTTAAGGGCTGATTCTGAGGCTAGAGTGCTATTTAGGACATCTGCCATTCTATGAATCTGCTGTGTATCCCGCTTCCCATGTTGGATCATTCTCTCCTTTTTTTACTCTATTAGTTCATATTAGCAGACACTAGTCTTGTTTATGTGATTCCCTTTGACTCCTAGACCTATCAGTATGATCAATTGTGAACTGAAATTGAACACCTGGACTAGTAAGATGGCATTGGTACATGCCACCTTGATGGGATTGTATTGGAATCCCATAAGAGTCTTTCAGGCATGGAAAGCCAAAACACTCTGGCAAAAAAAAAAAAAGAAAATAATATCAAAAACAAAAAAAAAAAACTAAATGAGAGATCCCTGCGAGTGCGAGTGAGATCCCAGTAGAAAGAATGGGCCATCAAAGAAGGAGGTACCTTTCTCTGAAGGGAGGAGAGAACTTCCACTTTGACTATGGCCTTGTCAAAATAAGATTCAAGTCAGCGAACTCAAAAGGCTTCCATAGCCTTGGCAACTCATGACAAGAGCCTAGGGAGATTTCTGACATCATAAACAAGAGTTTCAAATTGTTAAGTCAACAACAGGAGTCACTGTGCACTCACTGCTCATGTAGGATCTCTGTCCTTAATGTGTTGTTCAATGTGAATTAATGCTATAACTAGTACTCAAACAGTATTTTACACTTTATGTTCTGTGTGGGTGCAAACTGATGAAATCTTTACTTAATATATACTAAATCTTTTCTATATAAAGAGAATTGAAAATGAATCTTGATGTGAATGGAATGGGAGAGGGATTGGGAAATGGGAGGGTTGCGGATGGGAAGGAAGTTATTGGGGGAAAGCCATTGTAATCCATAAACTGTTCTTTGGAAATTTATATTTACTAAATAAAAGTTAAAGAAAAAAATGAGCCTGTGAGATACTAACAAAAAGTCTAATATCCATGCTATAATACCCAAAGCAGAAAAAGTACAGTCCAGCAGAAAATATTTCAAAGAAAGGTGACTAAAAGTTACAACTGAGACCACTGTGCTTAGTGAAATGAGCCAGTGAGACACCAGGATAGAGTTCTTGGCTCCCATCTTCAGCCTGATCTGGCCCTGTTAATGCCATTTACTCTGTGTGTGTGTGTGTGTGTGTGTGTGTGTGTGTTTCACTTTGTCTTTCAAATAAATTAATTTTAAAACCCCAGGAAATACTAAGAAAGGAAGCCTTAAATCCAAATATGTTAAAATGTATGTTAAAGGATTTTGAAATGTATTAAAATATAGGTAAAATTTATTTAACATGAACGAAAATATATTGCATAGCATAAATTCATTTAAACACAACGTATGTAGCTTAAACTTGAAAAAATAGAACTTGCAAACCAAATCAAATAATTCTGTGGAAGCTACATTAAATTTAGATGGATTGGGCTTTTGGCCTAGCAATTAAGATTCTATTTGGCACTGTGGCATAGCAGGTAAAGCCACCACCTGCAGTGCCAGCATCCCATATGGATGCCGGTTCAAGTCCTGGCTGCTCACTTCTGATCCAGCTCTGCAATGGCCAGGGAAAGCAGTGAAAGATGGTCCAAGTCCTTGGGCCCCTGTACCCATGTGGGAGACCCGGAAGAAGCTCCTGGCTCCTGGCTTCAGATTGGCACAGCTCCATCCACCGTGGCAAATTGGGGAGTGAACCAACAGATGGAAGACCTGTTTTTCTCTTTCTGCCTCACCTTCTCTCTTGTGTAACTATGACTTTCAAATAAATAAATAAATCTTTAAAAAAATTCTATTTGGAATGCCTGCATCCCATATTAGAATGCCTGGATTGGAGACCTTCATTTGTTTCTAATTTCAGCTCCCTGCAAATAGGCACCTGTGGAGGCAGCAGGTGATGTCTCAATTATCTGGACCCCTGCCATCCCCATGGGATACCTGAATTGAGTTCTTTGCTCCTGACTTTGCTCTGACCCCATGCTAGGTGTGGTGAGCCTGTGGGTAGAGACTCAGTGGATCAGAGTGCTCGCTCTGTCTCTCTCACTCTGCCTCTCCAATAATTTTTAAAATATTAAGACAAATCAGACCTCAATATAAAGAAAATTACTAGGACAAAAGTGAACACTTCACAATGATAAAAGGGTTGACTCACCAGAAAGATAAAAGAATCCTAAATGTGGTTGAAAAAACAACAGTTTCAAAGTGTAGGCAGCAAAACTGACATAACAGAAAGGATGAAAGATAAATCCACATTTGTCCTTGAAGACTTCAACTCCTTCCTAGTAATAAATATAAAATTAGAAAAACTTCAGTACGATTATTGAAGATCAGAACAATACTTTGAAGCAATAGGACCTAACTGATATTTATATATCATTCTGAACAATGGCAGAATACACATTGTTGTCAAGTAGACCTAGAAATCTCACCAAAGGGGCAGGCATTGTGGCACTGTGGGTTACGTTGCCAGTTGTGATGCCCACATCCTGTATCAGAGTATTAGTTTGAGTCCCAGACACTGATTCCAGTCCAGTTCTCTGCTAATGTGTTGGGAAGTAGCAAATGATGGCTCACATAGTTGAGTGCCTGCTACCCATGTGGAAGACTAGGACTGATTTCCTGGCTCCTGGCTTCAACCTGGCCAAACCCTGGCTGTTGCTGCCACTTTGGGAGTGAACCAGTGTATGGAAAATATCTCCCCCCTCCTCTGTCTCTCCTTGCTATCTGACACTCTTTCAAATAAATAAATAATTAAATATTTTTAAATCTGGGTTAAAATCAATCTTACTAATTTTAAAATAATCTAAATATTACAAATTAAGTTCTTCCACTATAACAGAATTAGACTGTGAATAAAAACACAAAGATAAAAGGAAACTCCATGAGAACATAGAAATTGAAAAAAATACTTCTAAATAACTGATGGTTCAAAGAAGTCACATGGGAAGTGATAACACTCTGAACTGAATAAAAATGAAAATAAAATTTATTCAGTGAAAAGAGATTTTTATTAACTGTTCATATTAGAAAACAAGGTTGCAACTAAATCTAAATTTACATTTTTAAAAGAACAACAAAGTGCACCCAAAGCATATAGATGAAAGAAACTAACATAGTAAGCATTAATAAGCAATAAAGGAAGTAAGTGAATTCAGAAACTAAGTATTTGAAAAGACCAATAAGGTTGATATATCCACAGCAAAAGTGGCAAAGAAATGAAGACATAAATTACCAGAATCATGAAAAAAGATGAGTTATCACTACTGATTCTACTGATACAAAATGGTTAGCACAATACCTCTACCAATTCATTACCCATAAATTCAACAACTTGGATGGAATAGAACTCTTTTTCAAAAGCCCCAAGCTTCATTGTGAAACAGATGATGTAACAGCCCTGTAACTGTTACAGAGACTGAACGTTCCAATGATGCCCTCTGAAAAAGAAGTCCACAGACCCAGACGGCATCACTGGTCAATCTCACTAAGCGTTTATAGAAGAGTTAATTCCATTTTCACACACTCTTACAAAGTAGAGGAGGGTTCTCTTTAGAAAGGACAGTCTCTTCAACAAATGGTGCTGGGAAAACTGAATTTCCACATGTAGAACTTTGAAACTAAACCCCTACCTTATATCCTATACAAAAATCAACTCTCAGTGGAACAGAGACCTAAACTTCGGACCTGAAATCATCAGATCACTAGAGGAAAACACAGCAGAAACACAGTGACATCAGTATAGGCAAAGACTTCTTGGATAAGGTCCCAGAAGCACAGGCATAAAAGGCAAAATTAGACAAATGGGATCACATCAAGCTAAGAAGCTTGTGTACAGCAAAAGAAACACTCAAGGAGGCAACCAATAGAAAATATTTGCAATCTGTACATCTGATACAGGATTATTATTCAAGTTATAAGGAACTTAAACTCAACAATCACAAAACCAACAATCCAGCTAAGAAATGCACTAACAATACGAACAAGCACACAGACACACAGACACAAAGAAGCTCTGGATCACTAGTTATCAGGGAAAAGCAAATCAAAACCACAAGGAATGTTCACCTCACCCTAGTTCTAATGGCCATCATCCAAAAATTACAAAGTAACAAATGCTAGTGAGGATGTGGAGAAAAAGGTACCCTAATCCACTGTTGGTGGGAATGTAAATTATCATTATGTAATACAGTTTGGAGATTTCTCAGAATTCTGAAAATAGATCTATCATGTGACCCAGTCATCCCACTCCTGGAAAATTATCCAAAGGAAATGAAATAACGTATGAAAGAGTTACTATACCCCCATGTTTATACTGGCTCAGTCCATCATAGCTAAGGTATGGAATCATGGTGTATGTACATAATGAATACTACTCAGCATAAAAAAATGAAATTCTGCCTTTGGCAACAAAATGGACACACTTGGAGACTATTTATGTCATGTTCTATTTGATTTACGTTTGTACAAAAAAAAAGTAAACGTATGTGATAGACATCTTGAGTTTTGATTATTGTTTAAACCCTTTATATTCTGCTCCTAAAATCAAACAAAAAAGTTTTTAAAAACCTACAATATCTTATCACCTACTAATATAAGTCTTCAACAAACTCTTCAAACAATGTTTTTCCATCAAGTATCCGAATAAAAATCAAGCAATATATAGAAAGGAATAATTAAACTTGTGCAGTTGAGCTTTATCTCAGGAATCAGACTTTTTCAATATTTAGAAATCAATCATCTACCGTATTAGCAGTCCAAAGATAAGCCACATAATCACACCAATTAATGCATAAGTAGTATTTGAAAAAGAATTAAATATCCACTCATGACTAGTTCAGCAAATTTAGAATAGAGGGAATTTCCTTAATTTAATCATTTAAAGAATTCTCATAAGGCTATCCACACATGTATATGAATAAGATCATTCAGCATTTGTTTCTGTGCCTGGCTTGTCTCACTTAAGATAATCTTCCCCTGATTCATCCTTATTTTCGCAGATGATAGGATTTCCTTCATTGTTTGGCAGAATAGTATCCCACTGCATGTATGCACCACATTTTCTTTACTCATTCATCCATTGATAGTGAGGTCAATTCCATATTTTGGCTACTGTGAACAATGCTGCAAGAAACACAGGAATACAAGTATCTTTTCAATATAAAATTTGGTCTCATGGAAGTAGATAACGAAATGATGGTTACCAGAGGCTGAAGAAATTGAGATGGTGGGTTGTGCGTTTGCTGGAAAAAAGAACACAAAATCAGATAAGAATAAGTTCAAG